TCCCCAGCAGTCCTGCCGGTGCACCTGGATGAGCATTACCACTCCAGGCAGCACAGACTCACCAGGGTCAGTATAGGGCACCGCCATAAGGAGCTCTCTGGGTGGCATAAACGTCTGTTTCTGGGGCTCCGCCTGGGAGCACGCATTCTGGAGAAGCCGTTGGAGGCACCTTCCGCATTCCACACAAGTGTTTCACTCCGTATGCCCACGTGAGCAAATAGAGAAACTGAGTCACGAGGCTAACAAGGGGTTCTGCAGAGACTGAATCTGGCCGGGCGCCAGAAAGCTACGGAGGCTCACGTGAGTGCTATGCCACAAACCAGGAGTGAGGCCCCCTGAGCCCAGGTAGGCTGAAGAAGAGTCAGTCAGAGTTCTGAAACTGCCATAGTCACTTTGGCATTGTGACCACGGAGAGAAGGATGTAAGACTTTTGCAGCAATGGCTGGAATAATCCTTAGGCAATCAGATTCCTGGAGCCAGGACAAGGAGGGCCCAAATTGAGGCCCCCAGAGGGCTGTGAGCAGCTACTGGCCTTCTCCCTTGGTTACTGGCCTCCCCACTGACCGGAAGGGTCCTCGGGCCTCTTGGGGTTGACTCTCTAAGTATCAGCCAGGCTCTGTCCCCCAGGGACACCTCCAGCTGGAAAAGGGAGGAAGAAACAGCAGAAGGCCTAGCCCTCACAGCGGCGCTGGCAGTCTGAGGGGGGCCCTCTGGCAGGGGCAGTGGATAGCGCTGCTCCTCATTTTCTTCCAATTAGACATTCAAACTAAAATTTATCTGCACATTTAAAGCAATGATTCCAAAGGTGTCTAAGATATATATTCTCCAGTAGGAATGTTGCAGTACGGTGTATATAATATGAAACTAGTTCTTTTTTCTTTCCCTTAAAAAAAAATGATTTGAAAGAGTGACAGAGATATCAACTTGTTGTTCCACTTATTAACACTTTCTTTGGTTGATTCTTGTCTGTGCCCTGACCAGGGAACAAACCTGCAACCTTGGTGTATCAGGTTAACACTCTGACCAACTAAGCTACCCACTAGCACAAAGCTAGTTCTTTTAAAATGAAACAAGTTGTACATTAATTGTTGTAAAAAAAATCATCATCATCATCTGCGAGAACATACCTAAACTGTTAGTAGAGCTTGTCATCAGAGGAAGACTTTCAATATTAAACGCTGTGGTCCCCAACCTTTTTGTCACCAGGGACCGGTTTCACGGAAGACAGTATTTCCACAGAATGGGGGGTGGAGTGGGGGCGGGTTTCAGGATGATTCAAGCACATCACATTCGAGCTCCCCGCCTGCTGTGCAGCTGGTTCCTCACAGTCTGTGCACCAGCGCTGGCTCCTGGCCTGGGGGTTGGGGACCCCTGTTAAATGTAAACATTTATGAAAAAGTTGTTTTTTTACAAGGAGCATGAATTATTTTTCCAACTGGAAAAAATTACAGGCAACATTTTTTCTGGCCATTCCTTTCTCTTTCCCTCCACTCCCCATGTTCTCTCTCCTCTTCTCCTCTGCCCTCTGTCCTGTCCCCATTAGTCCATATGACACCTCCCTTGCCACTAGCTTCCCATGGAGAATGTCCCCACCTCCACCCACTAACTGTGGGGAGTGGGGTGGGAGGCCGGAAACCGGTCCCAGCACATTGCTGGAAGTATCTGAATTTGCACAAACAACCCTTTGAAAAGGCAGCTTGGTGATATCAATCAACAATCATAAAGTGTCCCTGCCCTTTGACCTAATGCTTCCACTCCAGGAAATTATTCAAAGTATGAGGCAAGCCATATACCTGAAGATTTTTCAATGCATTCTTGTTTATTCTAGCAGAAAGAAAAGAAAAACTACTTCACTATCCAATAATAGCTAAATCTTCAAGTAAATTATGGTCAATCCACATGATAGAGAAATATACAAACATAAACATGTACATAAAGAAAACAGATATCCAATAACAGATGCTTAATTACATAAATCTGATATAAACATAAAATTAAATCGTGCGGTCATTAGAAACAATTATCTATGAGGCATAACTAAGTGAAAAAACAGGTTATAAAATAACCTAATACAACACTCTAAATTTAAAAAGTCTGCATTTCTTTCCTTAGAAAAATATCTGGAAGGACACATAAACACAGACATAATTAGGCATAATCACTGACCATAATAATCACATGGTCAGATTACGTCTAAGTAGTAGCACTGTATGGAATTAGATTTGTACTTTCTTTTTTATACCAGTTCAGAATGTCTGGGATTTTTTTTAAGAGAATAAAAACCACTTCTATTCTGAAAAAAAAAGTTAAACATCCAAATAAAAATCCATTATGAAAACAACATACTATTGTTGCCTATGATTGCCTAGTCAGGCAAAAGTGCAAAATATGGCTACCACATGCGTCATGCTTAAAACTATTAAAACAACAACAATAAGACACAGGAGGAAAAAGGGGGTTCACTACATCACCAACGATAAATGTGTTGGGCTATTGGGATTAGGGGGGTTCTTTCCTCTATTTCCCAAGGCTTACAAAGTGTACTTCTTAATAATAAAAAGTTCCTTCTACAGAAGAGTAATTAGTGGTTTGCTGGTAGCTTAGGGACAGACACACAGCAGAACCACCCCGGGGAACATATTCCCGATGCCCATTCTGAGCTCTGCTCCCACAGCACCGAAGCCCCCGTTTTCAGAACCCCTTTGGTGAGCGCCCCCTCCAGGCGGAGAGGCGCTCCTTCCTCTTCCCTCCTCAGCCCCTTCCCTCACTCCTGCGTTTGTTTTTCACCCCCCACCTCATGCTTATTAACAGAAACCATATCCATCCCAAGCTGGCCATGAGCTAGGCAGTTTGCTAAACGCTTTCACATCTATTCTAATTACAAACTTCGGTGCTTTGTGAGACAAATGTAATTTCACAGATGGGCAGACTGGAGTGCTGACAATTCAGGTAATGTACTCACAGTGACACAGCAAGGGGTGGGGCCTGGGCCTGAAGGCAGGTGGTCCGACCCCAGAGCCTCCTTGCTGTTAAGCATTTGACATTCTGCCTCCCACAGACCTCAGGGGTCCCTAAGAGTCACTTCACCTTTGCATGCCCAAGGGGAACCAATAAAGTGCTGGCTCAGGCAGGTTCTCCACAAAAATAGGTAGAAGTAAAGCTCTTACTTGGTACCAGCCAGGGTACCCTGGAGTCCAAAAGTGGAGGCAGTAAAACACTCACTCAGCTGGTTCCTCTCTAACCTCTGCAGCAACCATCCTATCTTTTCTCCTAAAATCCCCTCGGGAAGGGCTGCAGGTGCTGCGCCCAGAGAAGCACCAGCTCCGGAAAGGTGATGAGAGTGTCACCGCCACCTGGAAGAGTCGCACATGATTCGCACATGATGTGCGCATGGCGGCTTCCTTTTATGGGCCGTTTCCAAATTAATCTTTCCTTATTGTTCCCCTTCGGGCAGTCACTTCCCATTTCCTGATGATCTGTTCCTTCTCAGTTCTCATTCCAGTCAGGGATCATGCTAATTTATCATGTTAAATGATGGCGTTGCTCTACAAAGCTGCTGATTCCAGAAGGGTGAGAAATCTTCCCAGACACGGGCTCTAAGCCCAGCTTGCTCAGATTTGAGCCTGACTCCATCGCTCATCACCAGGATGGTCCAGGCACACTCTCCATGCACCTCGGTTCTCCCAACTGTGAAATGGGGAATAATACGACCTACCCTGTAGGTTCTAATGAAGACAAAGAAACAACAGCCGCACCTGCTGTGTGGGGGCTCAATACATGTTGGCTCCTTATGATTTTTACCTTTGACTTTTCACTTGCCATTTTATCTAGGGTAGAGCCATAGTCTACCATGATATTGTGCTTTATAAGAAGAAACATCTATTTGGTCTCTGTCCTCTTATTGGCACAGAGCCCCTAAGCCCCAAGGGAATCGTCCCTTGGGATTCCCTCAGTGACAGCAGTGATAATGGTCTTTCACTACTCATAACAAACCTCCAACAGCCACATCTTAGTTTATCATAAGGAGCAAACTTTTGAGAAGCCCCTCAGGATGAAGGATGGTTTCCAGGGGAACCAACTACATGGTTGGAGAATTGGAACCTGCAAAACTCCAACCTCCTGGGAGGAGAGAAGGGCCAGAGATTAAGTTCAATCACCGATGGCCAATGATTTACTCAACCAATCATGCCTATGCAATGAAACCTCTATAAAACCCCAAAAGGACAGGGTCCAGAGAGCTTCCAGGGCGGTGAACATGTTAAGATGCTGGGAGGGTGATGTGCCTGGGGAAGGTGTGAACACTCCGCATCCCCTCCTGCATCCCTTGTCCCATGCACCTCATCCATCTGACTGTTCCTCAGTTATGTTCTTTCATAATAAAATAGTAATCTAATAAGTAAAGTGTTTTCCTGAGTTCCGGGATCCACTCAAGCAAATTCGTTGAACTCAAGCTGCGGGTTTGGGGAACCTCCAATGGAAAGCCAGTCAGTAAAAGCACAGGTAACAACCTGGACTTGTGATTGGCGTCTGAAGAGGGGGTGGTCTTGAGAGACTGAGCCCTCAATCTGTGGGCCGCGGTGCCATCTCCAGGCGGAGAGTGTCAGGACTGAGTTAAATGTGGGACACCAAACTGGTGTTGCAGGCGTGTGTGGTGTGTGGAAAACCCACACGTCTGGTATCAGAAGCGAAGCAGTGATCTATCAGTTCTCACTTAACATTAGTGATAAGTTCTTGGAAACTGCAACTTCAGGTAAAATGACATATAGCAAAACCAACTTTACCTTAGGCTAATTGACACAAACAAGAGATAAGTTCCCATGGCATGTTTCTGGTTACAAAAACATCACTATGTAAAGACTCCTCACACTTCTAATATTAAGCATGAAATAAATGTGAACTATATATGCATTTTAAAATATCTTTATCCTCCTGAGGACATTTTTTCATTGCTTTTATTTTTTTCATTAAAACATTTTTTAAATTTAATCTTTTTTTTTTTCAAAACTATGCAACACTTTCCGAATCTGTATGTCGTCCTTGCACAGGGGCCCTGCTAATCTCTGTATTGTTCCAGTTTCAGTGTATGTGCTGCCGAAGCGAGCACTTCATTGCTTTGAGAAAGAGAGGGAGGGGGAGGGAGAGAGAGAAACATCGATTTGTTGCCTTCCCCACAAACTCTGACCAGGGATTGAACCTGCAACCTGGTACGTGCCTGACTGGAAATGGAACCCACAACCTTTCAGTATATGAGACAACGCTCCAACCAACTGAGCCACACCAGCCAAGGAGAGCTATATGCACAATTAAGAAATATTAAAAACAAGTAAGATTATTTTCCAACCCGCTTGTTCCAGTTCAGGGCCATGGGTAGCCAGACCCTATCCTGGCAGCTCAGGGTGCAAGGTGAACCCAACCCTGGATGGACAAGCCACCCCTTTCATCACACTCCACACCGCACACACACAAGCACACACTAAGACTGGGACAATTTTGAGCCTCCAGTTCACCTCGAAGGCTCATCCTTGGGATGTGGGGGAAACTGGGGTACCCGGAAATAACCCATGCAGACATGAGAGAACATGCAAACCACACAGATGGTGGCCCCCGCCAGGAACTGACTTTTCCTCCCTTATCAATGTTGTAACAAAACAGCACTGAGCCAAACGACAACTTGAGGACCTGCTGCCGGAGAGCACTGAAAGTAAGTGAGGTGCAGAGGAAGAGTGAGTTTTCCTTCACGTCTCAGTCTGAAGAACTGTGTGGTCAACAAAGTGATCGGAGTAAGCATTTGATTCAGTGAAGGAAATCTCCAGTTATTTCACCCTTATTTCTTGCCATACAAGTCACAGATTGCTCCAGCAAATAGGATGCAAAAGAATTGTGTGTAAAAGGCAGAATGGGTGATAGTCTGCCCCAAGAACACTGTAAAAGGAATAGTAGCTTGAGCAAGGAGATTTTCGGTGTGTGCTTGGTGAGAGGGGCACTAAAATAAATAAATTAATTAAGAGAATAAATAATCAATACTCTATGAGAGGCTACACTTTCCACAGGCCCCTGAGAGTTAAGTGCGTCCTTAGGTCCTTGGCCCATGTGCAAGAAGGACATGGGTCCCATGAACACTCTGGCAAAAGATGGGAAGAAGGAGTAGCTGAAGCCCTGAATACAGTCCACCTCAGACAAGGGAGAAAAGAAGACAGATTCTCTGCTGGTTCTGTCAGCTGAATCCAGGGTCAAGTGGCAGAGGCTACTTGATTCAGCCATCCACAAAAGCAGGGACTGGAAGGATTCACCCACATCTTGGCAGAAGGGTTCATGGGTTGGTGGGAAAACCTGGCTCCCTGCCCACTCCTTGCTTCCAAGGAGGGAGGAAGATGCAGCTGCCCAGGCACCCTGGGGTGGTTACGGGTTCCAGTTACATTCAGAACTCCTGCCTAGTCTACCTAGAAGGGGAGGGGCCAGGGCTCCAACAGAGGGTTGGGATGGTGAGGCCTTGCTCCCAAGTCCAAAGAGAGAGGAAGGTGTAGTTTGTGGGGGCAGGAAGTAGCTGGTTGCTGGGCTGAGGAGACCTGTAGCAGGAAGCATTTGAATGGAGTGACAGGGCTGGTGTGGAGAGGAGACCCAGAGGGACAGAGTCAAACATCAGACTCCACGGAAATGCTCCAATATGGTAGGACCTGGCTGTAAAAGAGAATCCTAGGAGACCAGCCCGCGTGGAGAATTATGACTGCTCAGAAGGGGCCTGACTGTGGGAGCAGACATGGAGGCCCCCAGAGGGCCAAGAACATGAAGCCCCTTAAATGAGAGCAGCTGGGACACCATCCCCCACAGGCCAACTGAGATGGGAAGGAGATCCTGGAACCTTGTAGGTCTTTTTAACTAGAGAGATAGAAGAGAAAGAAAGCACTAAGTGAAGGAGGTCACTGATGGAGGTGAAACTGAACAGACCAGGCCTAGTATGATGAGCCTGGCCCAGATGCCTGCCATGGTGGGAAAGGGACATCAACCCCTGGACAAGCCAAGTGGCACATACCTTTCTGCTACCTCCCAGGGCCTGCTTGCTCTGCCTCCAACCTGAGCCAGGAGAAAGGATCATCGGAAACAGAGATCCTGCTGGCCCTGCCTAGCAGGTCTTTGGCTCTGCCATGACCCAGGATGGCTTTGGCCCACCGCCAACCTGCTGCTAAATCCAGACTCCTGAAATGTCAGTTACCTTGTGTCTGGCCATAGCCTCAGCTGGCTTTTCAGACCCTGTGCCATGGCCTCAGAGGGTCTTCAGGGATGAAGGGAACAGGCTGAGCCCACTCTTGGCCAGAGCATTAAAGGGAACAGGGCCTCAGAGTCCAGGGAAAAGGTGGCAATAGACACTGGTGGCAGATCGCTAAGGGGAAGGGGCCTCTTGAAGACTTGGGTTCCTGCTGTCCCTTCCCACAGCCAGGGTCTCTCTTCCCCTACTCCCCACATCAGAGGAGGTTGATCTAGACTAGTGGTGTTTCTCAAAGACACGGGCACAAAGGGAAGCAATGGTGGAGGCAACCTGCAATCTCAGCCGCCTTCTTGGTGTTAGGGCTACTGCTAGGTCCATCCATCCAGAGGTCCTTTCCAGTCCACCCCCATCCTGTGGCTTGCTACCATAGCTTGAGAAGACTTAACCACAATCAGTGGGGGAACTCGCTGCTCACGAATATTTTCATACCCTAACTCGTTTTGACCTCATAGTAATGTGCAAGAGATATTATCATCCTCTAAGAGATTAAAGATAATTAACAGATGGTTGGCATCCTTGGGCAGTAACCATGTTTTATCACCAATGCCCGGCATATAAAAGGGACTCAAACAGTGTGGAAGGAATGAGGAAATAGATGGACTTGTCCCAGGTCAGCTGGCAATAAGAGGTGGTGCCCTTTCCAGCCCATCCTCATTCCCTTCCATTCAGGATGCTGGCCGACGGAGATGGCCAGAGGACCGCGGACTGCGAGGTGGAGCGGGGCTGGCTGCTGAGCCGGTTCAGAGTATGCGAAAGGGCCCTACTTCTTTGGACACCCTGAGTCATATTTAGGGGAAAGTGTCGCACTGAGGTCTCTCCAGTTTACTCCCTCCGCTTGGGGTTCGGTGCTGGAAGGAGCTCTGCGAGAAAAGAGCGAAAACTGAATTCGCGTCCAGCTGCCGCTCTTCCTGGCAGGTTCCCTGGGCCCAGGACTGAGAAGAGCGGACCTCAAGCCCGGAGGGGTGGGGGCCCCGTTCGTGCTCCGCCCCGACAGCCGCACAGCGCCCTCTGGTGCCGGGCAGCTGGGTCCAGCGGGCTCGCCGGCCCGGGGCGGGATTCGGGGGTGTGAGAGGCGGGGCCTAGCGGGCGTGGGAGTCCGCGAGAAACCCGCGGCCTTCGGCGGTTTCCCGGCCGGGGAAGTAACCTAGGTCGGGCAGCCGCAAACAGGAAGTCGGTCTGTAACAAAGCGTGGGGGGCGGGGAGGCCGGGACCTCCGGGACTCCCGGTGGCCACAGCAGGTAGAGGGCTGACCCCGCCAGCGCACCGCACCACCTCGTTCGGCCGCTCCAGCCTAGGAGTCGAAAGGGACACGCTGTGAGCTCTGGGCTGGACGGAGGGTGCGGCCGCCCTGGGAGGGCCTCCGGGACCTCCCAGGCGCATCCTCTCCCCGGGAAGGGACAGTCATAGTACCCTAAGTGAATCACTTCCATCCCCTTCCGGGAATGCAGCAGACCAAGTCGGGCGGAGGGCTGGGTGTGCAGATCCTGGGGACCCACGCAGAGACTGGGAGTGCTGCAGAGAGGGGAGAGCCCTGTGGGTCCCTGCCTGGGGTGGAGCATCCATTCTACCCGAGTCTAGTCTAGTGGTTTTATTTAGCCTGGGATGGGGGACGGGGCGGGAGGGAGATAGGGCCACTGTCTTTTTGTAACCCCCGACCAGTCTGACCGTGGCCCTGAAACAGCAGAGGGCACCCTGGCTGAGAAAGCAGGATAAAGGCATTCCTTCCTTCCTTCTTCACAGCTCTCCCTGACTCATCTCCCCACAGTGATATCCAGGTGGTTCCTAGCCCCGGGCCCTGAAATAGTGTCCTCAGAGCTAGAGGTCACTGTGGGGTCAGACTTATCCGTAAGCAGGGCACTACCTCCAGCTGTTAAGGAACCGCTAAACTGTGAATTCTCTTGTGAATATGTGTGCAAATTAAACACGGGCATTTGCTAAGCCATGGAGAATTAGAAAATGAGTCTAGAGCTGTCATGTGGCCCTGTTTCTGCCAAACATGGGACCTTTCCTGTGGACCTGGACACTTCATCAGAAAAGTGTTGGGTAACTTCACTGTGAGAAGGGGCTGAGCCCTTAGGTCTGGAAATCCTGGGGAGAGGAGGGCTTCCATTATGGCCTTTTCACACCCCAACTGCCTGGCCCACTGACTGCCATGTCTCGAGAGGTGAAGCCCAGCATGAGCTACAGGTTGGAGCTGCCCAAATCAAGTCCACACGTGGATCCCCTCTTTCCCCAGAAAACTGGCATGGTGGGCTCTCCCAGCTCCCCATCTAAGGTATCCGAGCCAGTGAGTGAGCGTAGCCAGCCAGCTTCTCTCCAGGGCTCCTCTTGGATGGGCTGGCAGCCAGTGCAGTCCAGCACAGCCTGATGGTGTGGACGTGCAGGCCTGCGAGTGTCCTACCTGTCTCCCACATGGGAGCCTCGTCATCTGGCCTCTGTGTCCCAGCCCAGTTTCCCCCGCCCCCCAGGGTCCGGGAGCCGCTTTCCTGTTTCGTTTTGGGCAGGAAGAGTGAGGTGGTGTTGTTCTTCCCGCTGCTGCCGGCTCAGGCTGTGGGAACGGTTCCCTGAATGCTTTCCTGTTTGATACCCTGTGTGTGCAAGGAGAACACAGGGACCAAGGAGCGAGGCATGGAGCCCATGCCTGCAGAGAGTGTGATGAGCAAAGGTCTCTGGCAGAGGCCCCCAGACCAGGGGCAGAATGCTTTGTGTGCGTGCGTGTGCTGGGGAGAAGGAGGAAAAGGGAGACCAGGAGCACTGCATATACTTCGACTCCACTGGGAGCATCTGGTGGGTCTATTTTGTCTTACTGTGGGCAGGCTGAGACTGAGAGCAGTTGCTCG